TACGGGCCATTTCTATCATTCTGCTGGATTCAAAGAAGAGACTGCATAGTCACCTCTCAAGGATGGTTTAACTGGTGTTCCTGAACAGAGGGTTGGACTACATGATCCTGGTACTTCCTTCTACTGCCAGACTTCTGTGAGTCATTCCACAACTAGAAGTGTATAAAGGTAGTCCACATTTTGTTTAGTGGCCATTTGAAGTTGCAACAGCACTGAAAAAAAATGAGATGACCATGTTTCACACTGATGACCATTGCAGCATCCCCACAGTCATGTGATCAAAATTCAGAGGCCATATTTATGCAGTGTCCCGGGGTCATGTAATCACCTTTTGTGACCTTCTGACAACTGCAGTGGTTCACTTAACAACTGTGGCAAGAAAGGTCGTAAAATGGGGCAAGACTCACTTAACCACTGTCTCGTTCAGCCATAGAAATTTTGGGCTCAGTTGTGGTCATAAGTCGAGGACTTACCTGTAATTAAATACCACTTCAAATGGTCAATATTTCTGGAGGATTAATTAGATCATTAAAAAATATATAGAGAAGAAAAGCATTGGTTGTACATGTGTGTGTGTGTGTGTGTGTGTGTGTGTGTGTGTGTGTGAAATGCTCCTTTGTTCTTCTTAGGTAATATTATGCATGATCCAGTATCAAAAAGCTGCCTCGTTAGTTAAGATACTGTCCATTAGTAGTACTCTCAAAAAAGCAAGTAACCTGACGACAACAACAACAAAAACAATAACAATAACTAACAACAGCAGCAACAACAACAACAACAACAACAACAACAATAATAATAATAATAATAATAATAATAATAATAATAATAATAATAATAAAAGTTGAAGGGATCTTGGAGGTCATCGAGTCCAACCCCCTGCTCAGGAAGGAACCCTACACCATTTCAGACAAATGGCTGTCCAGTCTCTTCTTCAAAACTTCCAGTGTTGGAGCATTCACCGCTTCTGGAGACAGGTTGTTCCACTGGTTAATTGTTCTAACTGTCAGGAAGTTTCTCCTTAGTTCTAAGTTGCTTCTCTCCTTGATCAGTTTCCATCTGTTGCTTCTTGTCCTGCCTTCAGGAGCCTTGGAGAATAGCTTGACTCCCTCTTCTTTGTGGCAGCCCCTGAGATATTGGAACACTGCTATCATGTCCCCCCTCGTCCTTCTTTTCATTAAACTAGACATACCCAATTCCAGCAACCGTTCCTTATATGCTTTAGCCTCCAGTCCCCTAATCATCTTTGTTGCTCTTCTCTGTACTCTTTCTAGAGTCACAACATCTTTTTTACATCATGGTGACCAAAACTGGATGCAGTATTCCAAGTGTGGCCTTACCAAGGCATTGTAGAGTGGTATTAATACTTCATGTGATTTTGATTTTATCCCTCTGTTAATGCAGCCCAGCACTGTGTTGGCTTTTTTGGCATCTGCAGCACACTGCTGGCTCATATTTAAGTGATTGTCTACTAGTATAGTATACTATAAGTCTCCTTTTCCAGTTACTCAGCCTTGAAGGAAAATATTGTGGAATAGAGATTTGCACTACAGAACCCAGTATGCGTAACCACACTGACTCTTTGAAAAGTTGGCTCAGAGGATGAAGGCTGAATAGGAACTTGTGGAGTATGGAATGAATCACGGAGTAATAATGCAAGCTGTAGTTTCAACTGGATTTCTTTATAGCCACCCAGCAGCAAGCTAATTATTCAATAGGTAATCCATGTGATAATCTGTCAAGCAGCACTCCTTAAGGCGAGAGCCTCATTTCTCCTGAAATCCATGCAGCCACTTCAGTTTTGGCTCAGTGCTAGTACGCCGTCATGAGAGGACCTTATTGTTAAAGGAGGGCTTCCAGCTCTACAGAGGGAAATTTGCAGCACCCAATAATATCTATGTTAACATTTCAGGAAGCTCGTAAGTTTTCCCCAATTTTTCCCCCAATAATTGAACTTAAGGATGAAATATTGGTTACGGTGATAGTAAGAAGATTGAGAGTCAGAAACACTCACGGTTCTAGTGAAAACCATCTCTACTAAGAATTCCTGAAATCTGCTAACAATTTGCTTGGTAAATTGATAAAAGGAGCAGTGATTAGAATGCAGCATTACAGGCAAACACTGCCCGCAAGCCAGGAGTTCGATTCTGATGGGGTTCAAGGTTGATTCAGCCTTCCATCCTTCTGAGGTTAATGAAATGAGAACCCATATTGTTGAGGACAATATGCTGACATTGTAAACCGCCTAGAACAGGGGTGTCAAACTGCCGGCCCGCAGACTGGATGCGTCACCGGGAAACCACGCCCACTCCATTGCCAACAATGGGGGAAAAGCTCCAATACATTGCATGACATCACGTGACATCGCAAGTTTGACATGTCTGGCCTAAAGAGTGCTGTAAAGCACTAGGGGGTGGTATATAAACCAGAGTGCTATTCCTATTGTTATCTTCTGTCCATTCCTTATGCAGGCCTCTGATGACAATGCAACAATTCCAATAGATGCCTGAAAGAACAACAAAGAAAAAAACTGCTACTCTTATAAATAAGTTTTCATGGAAGCGATAAATGTGTGTTTGGTCTGATTTTCTGCTGCAAGTAGAAATTTGATAGCCTTTGGAAAAGAAAATTCCTTGCAGCAGGATGCTGGAGAAGTTTCTACAACATTCATGGCAGTGTCATTGTTTATTTGGACAGAGGAATTTCCATCCAACTATAGCTGTTGGTTTTTTTCAAAGACTATATTTGAAGTACTGTATGTACAGCAAATCCAACCAAAATATACATGTACCCAAACATATGCACTGAATGCAATGTTCCAATTTTACTGGTACTGAGCATTGAATCAGTGTTCATGATTTGCACAAATACTATTGCTGTTATATCATGTTAATTTAATATTTTTTAAAAAAATAAATCAGAGTGCTCAAGACTACATAATCAAATGCCAACCATATTATGGTTTCTGAGTCCTGATCAAATGCTAACATACTATATGCTGGTTCAGATCTTGTAAATGAATGACAGCAGCTCCATCAGGCGAAGTCTTCCCTGTAGCTTGTCTCATGCATCAATTTCTCCCTTATACTGGAGAAGGCTCCAGAAAGTCTTGAACGCATGCTAATACTAACTGTGTTAGGAAAGAAAGAGGGGTAATTTTTTTAAATATACCCTTACTGGAATAAGGATGTTGCCTGATTGCTGCTGGTAATAATGATAGCAACTACAACATGAGACCAACCTGGTTGCCTAAGCAACAATCTGGGATATGAATTTGGCCAGCTTACCACTCACTATACCAGGGGTCTTCAAACTTGGTCCTTTTATGACTTGTGGACTTCAATTCCCAGAATTCCTCAGCCAGGCACGCTGGGAAGGAATATCTTTCCAGGCAATTCTAACCTGTTCCAATGCCCCCTTCTTATTTTCCTATAAGTCTCACCCACTTTTTGTAACACTTAGGGTATAAAGATGTCCAGATGCTAGAAGCTTTGGGACATTGCTTTTTAAAAAAGCCTGGGATGGTTTTTATTTCAAATTCCAGGAAGGAAGGAGAGGAAAAGTCTACAGTTTACAGTTTACTTCATTGCTCACTTGCTATCTGCCTGGAAGTTAGCTAGCATCTACATATGAAAGAAGATGCAAGGGGCTAACATTCTCCCACTGAAGATAAGCAGAGCACCATCAGAATACAAAATATAACTATAAAATATGGTTGCTAGCAGCTGTCAATATTAGAAACTGAAGCCAGGGCTACCTATGTTGAAAAATAATTTAGCTGAAACAATATTTAGCTTGTCAGTTTCCGGCCTTGAACTGGCAAGTGGTTTATTTATGGATGCTGGGCTTTTTCCAGGTGAAAACAATCAATGACTATTTGAGTAAGTCATGTCTCAAGAGGCTTCACTTGCTGGCTCCACAGAAGCTAGGCTTATCCCTTGAAAAGGTCAGTATGCTGCCTAAGTCAGTAAACCAAAGTTTGTCAAGCTGGAGAAGCACTTGGGAATCAGGCAGAGAGAGTGTATACACAAGATTTCTACTTCCCATCTTCTGGTTTGCCACTTTCTGGGAAAGTAATTTCATGACCAACCTACTATGGGTCTGTGTATCTGTGTGTGTGTGTGTGTGTGTTTGTATTCACATTCTTATCCCATCAAAATACTCTCTTATTTACTATATCTTGCTAGGGTTTTAAATATTGCTCCCAGTGACAAGCCAATGTTCCATCCAAATTCAATTAACTTATTTTCTTATTGTCTTGAGTGATACCCTGTGCTTTAGGGACACCATTTGCCTGCTGACATGAAGGAAACACCATCTATTTGATCTGGTGAAAAACCTTGCTTCCATCCAAGCTTGGGCAGGACCTTGACCTGCTAAAAATCAGGACTGCAAGCTTTTATTATACAGGTAGTCCTCAATGTACGACCACAACTGAGCCTAAATTTTTTGTTGCTAAGTGAAACAGTTGTTTATCGAATTTTGCCCCATTTTTACGATCTTTCTTGCCACACTTGTTCAGTTAGTAACATGGCTGTTAAGTGAATCTGGCTTTGCTTGTCAGAAGGTTGAGAAAGGTGAAGTGATCCCGGGACATAGCAACCGTCACAAAAATGAATCGGTTGTTCAGCATCCAAATTCTGATCACGTGACCAGGCAGCAACAGTCGTAAGTGTGAAAAACGGTCATAAGTCACTTTTTTCAGTGATGCTGTTACTTTGAATGGTTACTAAATGAACTGTAGATGGTGGGAGGTAGACAAATGCTGCCAGGTTTTGTATGGATACCTTCGTGCTTTATTGCAGCATATTTCTGAAATACCTGGCTGCATCTCCCTTAAGGCAGAGATAGCAAGGATGAGGAAAGGACAACACAGAAATCCCTGAATTATCCAGCAAAGAGCCTAATCCTTTTTCTGTATCGGGTATAAACAGCAACTTGATATATTTTGCTTCTCTGCATTATTTGTCTTTACTGAAACTGCAGGCATCAAAGTAACAGACTTACAGCATCAGAAGACAGAGAATTTGCATGAGTTAAATCAGCATACATACAGTATGTACAGTCAGATCACTCTAAGTTATTATTTACAGTGTAAACATCCATTTTTATTATATAAGAAACATAAATATCACAAATTTCACTCCACAATATATATTTGTTTTGATTTAAATAATAAAATCATTATTTAAATCAAAACAAATACCATGAGAAACTCAAAAAAATAGCTTGATCTTTTTTTTTTTTAGGATTTTTTTTTCCAGGACTTTTTGAAGTTTTTTTTTTTTTAAAATGAGTCGTCTTCAGAGATTCTGGAGAGAGAGAAAAAGAAAGGAAGAAAACAATATATATATATATATATAAGCTTAAATGTGCAAGACATTTTAATGAACATTTCTTAAAAATTTGGTCTCACTAATTGAGCGTTGTTAGCTTGGGTTCAGATTTTTACGTATTTCCAGAAATTGAAAGAAATATTCATCAGCTGATTTTTGATTCTGACTGCAATGTTTCCCCTAGAATAAAGGTGGGTGCAAAATCATAAAGGCCAGATCACATGGGTCCCTCCCCATGGGACACTCCCCATGATCCCCTGCCTGAAATGTCTTGACAAACTACACCATGATTTTCTGCTGTGTTCTATTTTTCTCAAAATAAGAAGTTAAAAATATATATTATGCCAGTAATGTTTAATCTGATTATTTTATTTTTTTTTTAAAAAATGAAACCCATCAAGTTAAGGAAAAGGGATGAGAATTCCAGCCCCACCTCTGTGATGATATAATTGCACTACAGTCATATTGCATGCAGTCCTCAGCTGCAAGGACAAATAACAGAACTCCTGGCAACCAAACAGTCAGATATTCTTATTCTAATTCTGTCAAGTGGGTTTGGGGGATGTGATGGGTTGCAGAGTTAGGAGAGATTTGTTAATGTGTGCCACCTCTCCTGCTTAACTAGTAGAAATTGTGTGCTGGATCAATTCCATTTCATGTCAACAGGAAAATGATATTTAAAACAAACTATATAAGTAAATAAAAACGTCCCTTGATACAGTTTTACTGTAGGGTGAGAGGTTTTCTTAAGTCAACTTTTTGAGCCAAGTTTTCTTACTTAATGTTATAAAACTTGCAAGCTCCATACTTCTGTTGATATACAACTCTTCTATTAGACTAAGAGATTTTATCCATAGCAGTAGTACTAACAACAACAATAATATTATGACATGTTGCTTGTGCTCTAGAATAAAAGTCAATTCAATAAAAAAAATACTTTCTTAGGTTGTCTGTAATTCAGCCAATAGAGAAATTGTGCAAATTGCATTATAAGGAGATCTATGATCAGCTAGAAAAGGGATCTTCAAACTTGGCCTTTTTGTGACTTGTGGACTTAAATTCCCAGAATTCCTCAGAGGCACACCAGTCCACAAGTCATAAAAAGGCCAAGTTTGAAGACCCCTGAGCTAGAATATCCTACTTTATGTATGATTTCCCCAAGTTTGCACGCAAAGTCTTTTATAGTGCTGATGGCCTCAATATGGGAATACAGGCAATACACTTCTAAGGATGCTCTTAGATCATAATGCTTCTTCTGGATGCTTTGTCATAAATAGACTGGGATAATGGACTAAACACCTTCTAATGACAACAGATGTCTAGCCATTGATCATGCTAATTGGGTTGATGGAAGCCACAGTCCAAAACAATTGATGCCTCTGTATAAATCATTGTATCTACAGTATAATTAGATTCTGGACCCTCACATTGAAATAAAGGAAGAACCACGGTTTGGACAAAATCTGGGGAAAGTAGTATCCATAAGAAGCTACTCTGTTTTCCAGGCAAAAAGGAGAAAATTCATTTCATTCTTCCTTTCATTTCTGGAGGCCAAAGTTGCTTATTTTCATCTCTCCTAGGACTCCTTAGAATTCTGAACATGGATAGTTTTTATAGGACCTTTAGTAGAAGGTAGCTGAAGGATGGTAGAAACTAAATAAATTCTTGAAAGATTCTGTTCTGACATCTGCAATATTCTCAACATCACTATCTTTAAATATAAAAGTACTAATTGCCTGCATTTTGTTTATTGTTTGTCCCATTTATATAACATTGTTCTGACCTGTTGATCCTATAGGTTGGCTTTCATGGCAGCTGCTGAAAGATTAACCTCTCTTTTGGAACAGGGAGAAAATATAGAGTATTATTTTATTATAGAGGTTGTTTATTTTCTGTACTGTAATATTAAAATATTACAGTACAAAAAATAAATATTAAAGTTCTTCAAATAAAACTGGATGGTGGAAGATTCAAAGGAGCTGAAAAAAATGCTGCTCCCAGTGTATAGAGTTGTATTCAGAAACTTACTAGAAAGAGTGGTCTTGATGGTTACCACCAGGCAGCTTTAAAAATGGATTAAACAAATTCATGGATGATAAGGCTATTACTGGCCATTGCCATATATTCCATCCAGTATCAGATATCTGTTTGTTCAATACTTGTTGCTCAGGAACAAGACTAGGAATGCTTAGAAGCAGTTGTTATGATTTATAGAGGGATTAAATTGATCACCTTGGATAGGGTTTAAACCCTTAGACAGGGTTTAAGCCTGATCCACCATTGCTGCTTTTTATGTTCCAATGCTACATGTATAGTCTAGTTTAATGTCTTTCAAGTAGGATCTGATATTTCTCCACTTGTCAAGACATGCCTCTTCCCTACCCTGGTTACCTCAAAGTGATCCCCAAAAGGATAATAGAACATTATATCAAGGGGAAGCAACTCAAAGGGTATAGAACATGCTTAGAACTAAATTAATCAATGTCATCCTGAGAGAAAGCATGCCTAGCTGGCTGGTATCCTAAATAGGCATATGCTTGTTAAGATATTGCATAGCCAATATTTTGAACTAAGTACAAATTGTATTTCCCATTGTCTGTCCACATATATTGTACATACCTTCTCAAGATATGTCATTTCCCACCATTTATGTCTCATAAGGTTCTTTGTCTCACTAAATTCCATCTCCAACAAAAGATCTAGGCAAGGAGATCCATTTTAACTTCATAACCCACCGAAGAGAGTCTTGTATTTTCCTTCATAGATCACTTTTGACTGGCTTAATGCAGAGCAACTCACTATTACATAATTTCAGCACTATTACATAATTTCAGTTTCATATGTATGGGAACTCAGTCTGACAGTGACAGCTAATCAAGCTATGAGACAATGGAAGTGCAGGTGTGGTATGTCAGGATAAACTTTGGGGATTGTCAGCTACAAATTCAATTTCAACTAATCAGAAGGATATGAAGAAAAAAGCTATGGACTATCTATCTATCATCTATCACAGAGGTCCACAACCTTTTGGGCACTAGACTGGTTCTGTGGAGAGAGTTTTTTCCACAGACCAGAGGGTACAAGGTTTAGTGTACTGCCTGCATCCCGCAGATGGCGCTTTGCTTGTTTGTGCGGATGGGTTGCTGGCATGCTGGTCCACGGTACTGGTCCATGGACCGTTGATTGGGGACCCCTGATCTATCATCTATCATCTATCTTCTATCTATCTCATTAAAGGGAAGCACTTGTGCAATCATATTCAAAGAGATTATTCTTGCCTGAGCTTCAGCTTAATATTAACAGTTTAAGAAAAATCCCAGCAAACTGAGCAAGTTAACCATGTCAAACTACTAATTTTCATTAGCTTACATATTTTTAAGCCCTGCAATTATCTTCTTGTGATATGAAGTTATATAATTTAAGAGAGTTTTTTTTGCAGAGGAGTAGCCATGTCATGGGTGTCAATGATTGAAGGTCAGGTGATTTCTCTTATTGGGAACAAATTTCAACCTACCAGTGGGAGGCGGTTCAGAAGACCCATATCATCTACAGTCACATCATCATAATTTTCTGAGAAGGCTGGTTCAAGCAATTCTACTTCATCCCGAAGATTGGGTGGGTTGAGATCTTCTTGACTAAAATGGCAGAGAAACAATGCACATTTTGTTCAATCCCAGGAGCGTAATAATCTTCGTGCTTCTGCTTTTTATTGTGCCGAACATTATAGGTCTTTTTACTGAAAGGATACATCTCAAATAATTTTGTCATATAAAATAATGTATAGCTATTTTATGGAAACACAATGCAAAGCTTTTTATTTAGTAATTATAAAACCATTTGAGAGTTAGGTCACCAATTCTTTGCTAATTAATTCCTTTGCATGCAGAAAGATGTCAAAAAATAACAAATAGAAAACACGCACGGGTCATGCTCCCCTTTCTTTTCAGTACACAGTTTGCTGTGCTTTAAAACTATTTTTATGATAATTTGTCCCCAGAAGAAAGCCACTGTTGCTAATTGTTTTTCAATACATTAAAAAGAAGATTTTGTTAATGGGTTATAGCTGTCGGATCCTTTTAAAACCCAGATATTTTTAGGCACTTCCTCTGTCTACCTTCTTTTCCCAGTTAAAACAGAGTCCAGGTACTTCTTCACCGCCATCTGTTTTCGTAAACGGCTGTAGTTGTCAGTGAAGACAGCATCGGAGTGACGTTTGACTGGCATCTGCTCATCAAGGGGGTTGTTGTTTCTTCAAGTAAAAATGGAGTTGCAAGAAGCATATTAATGCACAAGCCTCTCAAAGACTAAGCTAGTCAACACTCATACTTTTATTGTAATTCTCATTTTTAAAACAACAACAACAAAATCACTTGTCTTGATCTTACCCTCTGCTCTAATGGATGACACTTGATTAAATGTTTCTTCGGTTAGTGAACACATTGACCCTGAAGGAAAATTATAGCTAGAAGGAATGTCCAAGTATAAAATGTGGAGTTTTGGCAATGTGGCAAATAATTATTTTTTTTATTGGTCTTGAAATAGTCATCAATAGGTGCCATCCACAAAGTATCCCGCATATTTAAGTGCAGCAGTGAAATCACTGCAAATGAATTATTGATATCACTTTTTCAGGATAAAAGGCAGGTGACCCAAGGCACAGGGTGTTTCTGGTGTTCTGCTTTACCAGAGGCATCTGTGTTCTGAATTGATTTGTTCACAGTTTAGTTCATTTGTTCACAATTTATTCAAAGTAACTTGTTTGTACCAATTGCAAAGTCACAGTGGGCAGGTTTTCATGTCATTACCGGCCATATTTTGTATATGGCACACTATCAGAGTTTTTCTTAAGTTATGTCCTAGCTTCAGAAATTTCCAGCAGCTCTCTTTATTTATTTTTTTCTCACCTCAACTTCTCTAATACATGTATTCATCTGTTAGGTTTATATCCCATCTTTTTCCCCAGGTGTTCAAAGAATCATGTAGAACAATCCTCTAATTTTTTTTTCCTCTCAAGCTCAGACTAGTCATCTCCTACATCAGTGGTGTCGGGCAGATCCTTTGTGAAATAACCAACAGTTTCCAAATGGTCTTCAAAGCCAACCCTACATATAGTCTATTGCAGCATGTAGTCAAGACATGAGTAACTGAGAGAAGGTCCTCCCATTCCTGGAAAGTTCATGACAGTTGTACCAGATGGAGCTGTGTGGTCTTCCTTGCCACATCTGCTACTTCTTCTCTTTGCAATAACAAAGATACGGTGTAGTAATATACTGTAAATATCTCGTCAGTTATAATTCATATTTCTAATTTCATTACTAGGTTCAAATAAAGGTTTCTTCTTCACCATCACAAACCTCTTTATCATTAATACAAAATATAAAAAGTTACAAATATTCTGGATTATATTAAATATATAGGAGTATTTAAAGGTAACTTGCATTAGGGAAACACAAGGTACAATCACTTACCCAATCCTTTTTCCAACTAGGGACTCCAAATACTTTCTTGCAGAAAGTTGACCCAAAAGTTTGCTGTAGCCACTTGTAAAGAGCCCATCAGCATGTCTTGTATTTCTATAATGGATTTAAAATGTATGATCAATATTATTATACAGAAATAAAAATGAATATGTATTGGTGATATGCACAAAAAATGCTGTGAATTGACTCCTTATTGCAAAGTCTTTATTTCAAATAGGACATGTAGAACTTCAGAGCAGAAAGCCTCAATGAACTTATCAACATTAGTTCACAAAGACTTTTTTTCAGTGTTTATTAGAGATCAAAAGTTTTACCTGTCAATAGCTCTGGACATATCAAAATAGAACTTCTCATTTTCAGGTACGGTAGTTTGAAGAATGTCAGCCTCAGGTTTTAATGAATTTTGGGTGTGATCAGATTCACTTTGTCCATCAAATGGTATTCTGTTTCCTAATCTGAGAAAGGTTGAAGGAGGGGAAATAGGGTGGTAAAAATGTTGAGAATGATTTGGAAGGAGAGCATTCTTACAGACAAGGACTTCGAAGATACTTTAAAGTCACCTACTCATATCATAATGGTGGCATATTTCTCCATTGTCTAAAAGCAGAAGGGAAACATGCTGTGCTCTCACACCAGAATATTCCAAACAGAACTGAAACAATGTGAGATTTTGAATCATTTGCTTAACTGAGTGATATAGATCGGTTAATTAAATATGGACAATTTCATTCAGATGGGCTATGTGGAAAAACAACACATACATCTGACAGTAAATAGATATGAACTGAGGTCCCCATTCTATCATTTCATTATATATAATAACAGGATGAACGTAAAAATATTAAAATATGAATGTGGAAGCCAGGTTGTCAAAACATACAGTACAAAATTTCCTTGTAGAAAGTATCTTCATCAGACTTCAGCATGTTACTCTATGAATAAGGATTCTAAAAATTTTCCACTGAGTACACAAACCAAAAATATAAGCAGAACTTACACTTTGCTGCCCTTAATACTGCTTTCCTGTTACATCCTTCTTTTGTTCCATTGTTCCCACAGTGAGAGGTGGAAAAAGGGGATGATATAAGATGACCTTGAAAATTTAGCTCTAACATGTTTACATCTATTTATTTTCAATATGCTATTGGAAGAAATGAAGTGCCAGTTTTGGGACATATGGTCCTTGGTGGTAGCCATGAATCAGCTCTTAATATAAATTGATTAGGTCTCTCCTCCTTCTCCTCCTTACCTGACAAGAGGGACCAAGATAAGGTTTGCAATAAAGATGTAAAATAATAGTGCTTGGAAAGCTCATGTTGGACAGTAGAAACTAATGGTGAGAAGGATGCCAATGTTCCTACACGAGAATGATTAGTTTTCCCAAACTCACTCAGAAAGTTCCTTGGCTGGAAGTTGCTAATTAGCCTTACGTTGGGAAAGTATGACTTGTTTTAAAGTCTTCCAAATATTTGCTTCTCTGCTCTTATACTTAATTCAGTTACAAATTTTTCAGTCTTATTAAAATGTGTATATTACTTTCTGTAACATTTGGGCAAGCAAAGACCTTTGTTTTATCAATAATTCAATGTGCTTTCTTCCAATTAATGTTCTACTAATTTGTCAGTTGATAATATGATTAGGAAAATGCCCATTTGAAGCTTAGGCTTAGAGAAATTGGCATATGCTTCTTTTTTTACAGACTGAATGTCATGACATTTAGTTGTTAACTACTACCCATGTTTATAAGATTCTATTGCTTTCCTTGAATGTTTTGCCTGAAACAGGGAACTTCTTATAATGTCTATTTCTTTTTAACTTTCCCCTAGTTATTAAATATGCAATTCTGTGATCATAAGGAGAACATCGCTGGAGCCACAGAATGCAGATTTTCCCCTTCGTAGAGACAAAGTTTGATTCAAGGAACTCTTCTTTTGATGGCTGCAAAGGCTACTAATTTTGGTTAATCTTACAATAAAACAGGAAAGGGGCTGATTTCTGGGATCATATTAGATCAGGAATTCTTTGTTACGAATCCTGATTCTTTGTTACGAATTTCATAAAAGTAGATAGCCAGCTAGCCAGCGAGACAGACAGATGAACGGACAGACGGACGATAGACAGATGGATGAAAGACAGATTAATAATCCTAAATATTTCCTTAACACCTTTCCTAGAACTAATAAAAAACTAATAGGTGATTTGATATAATATAGCCATAATATAGCAATAATTTCCTTTTCATGGGAAATTCTTTTCTGTATCAAAAAAAAATCTGGAAAAATATTTCTTTTGAAGGCAATTATGGCATTTCAAAATTATTCCACCCTCACATAATACTCTCTTAGAATATCTTTTGCCTGACTCTTCAAATTACTAATAAATTAGTAATTTAAAATACCTTTTCATTTGATGATATCCCATGTATGAAATAATTGGTTATAAAATGTAGATTTCTTAATCTTTTACCATTTTCATGTGTTGTTTTGGGTGAAATTTGCATGATGTAAAAATATGAAATATTTATTTGATCATTTTTCTCCTGCATATCTCCTGCATTTCAGTTAATCTGTGCATTTCATTGGATGGATTTCTACTTTAAACATTCTAATGAGGATCTAATGATGATGTTCTCAAGATTTTAGAAAATAAAATGTTCTTCTGAGTTATAATGGGTGGCATTTACCACTAACAATGGTTACATGAGTTATGGCAACTCTGTTATTTTTAGTCCCAGCTTTCTCATGCTCATTACTTCAAAGAATGGAATATATAAAGTAACTGTGAGCTAGCAATTATTTGCCCCATCCTACTTCCTATTTGTTCACTTACCATGGTGGGTTTAAATAAATAGGCCTCCAGTCAATTTGTGGATCATACATATGAACATGTGAAAGAGAAGGTTATACATGCAACATTGAGGTTAACTAATCCAGACAAGTACAACCAGGAATACTAGTTCTATCTTAATTATAGGGCTATAGACTCTTGCAAGTCTGAAAGTATTTTTCAGAACAGTTTTGCTCTCTGAAAAATCTAAGGGATTCCTTTTGAGACACTTTCCTTCAGATTCAAATTTTAGTTATCCCACTGTTATTTTGGCTGTGCCTCTTCCCTCCTGTCTGTCAAAGTCATTCCCACATACCACTACATAACAGAATAACAGAGATGGAAGGGACCTTGGAGGTCTTCTAATCCAACCCCGTGCTCAAGCAGGAGACCCTATACTAGTTCAGACAAATGATTGTCCAATCTCTTCTTAAAAGCGTCCAGTGATGGAGCAACCACAACTTCTGAAAGCAATCCATTCCACTGTTTAATTCTTCTAACTGTCAGGAAATTTCTCCTTATTTATAGGTTGGCTCTCTCTGATTAATTTCCACCTATTGCTTCCTGTTCTGCCTTTAAGAGAATAGGTTGACCTTTCCTCCTCTTTGTGGCAGCCCCCTAGATATTGGAACATGTCATCTCTAGTCCTAGTTCTTTTCATTAAACACACCCAGTTCCTGCAATCATTCTTCATATGTTTTAGCCTCCAGTCTTCTAATCATTTATCTTGCTCTTCTCTGCATTGTTTCAGGAATCTCAACATCTTTTTAAATATTGTGGAGACCAAAACTGGATGCAGAGTGATTATATGAATAATATATGGTTTTCTTGATAAAGTAGTACACCTTTCGGAATGATTTTTTCCTAATTCCAGGCTAGATTATAACACTAATATTTCCTTTTGGTCTGCCATGTAAGTACTAACTAGGCCAACCCTGCTTCACTTCTTAAGAATGATAATAAAATGCTTTCTGAATATCTCAAATATTGTTGTTTTTTTTTAATCTCTGAGACTTATTGCTAAGAGAAGTTCCCAAGTGAAGGTGTGTCTGTTTTCTTATGTGTGATATAATAAAGTGTACTCTTTTATATGAATGGAACCATGTAAAACAACCTCAGAATTCAGATCCTAGAGCACCAAATTTATGATAACTGTTCCAAGTTTCTCATAAACAAATATAATGAGTACATTAAAATTTTTCCAAATAACTAAGATCATATTCTTTATATTCACAAGCATAATGACATTACCTGGTTACAGTTGCATGTGCATTTGCATATATGGAAATCTATCTCCCCCCCCCCACTAACCCAAGCCTTGAGTTTAATAGTTTAAAGACACCCAAATTGAAGGGTGATAAATTCCTTGATTAAATCTTTATTATTATTATTTTTAATATTTACTGAATTAATTTGTCTTTTCTACCCTAATCCATGTATACAGGTAAAGTCCAATTGCAACAGCTCAAAAATGCCTAATGTATTTACCAAAATAAATATTCCAGTTTCTATTTGTTAAAGAGTAAAAAGTAGTATAACATTCTTTAGATGATTTTCTGACAGTGGAAGCAATAATATTTGCCATTAGATTTGGCTATCAACATAAGTAACAGTTGTCTTATTTCAGTCCATAGGATTCAAGTACTTCTTAAATTTGCAACTCATGTTATCAGCTGTAGAAAAGATTGCTTAGGGTTTTCTTACCTTATAGCTGAATATGTTCCTAAAGGAGGCAATGCAATGACTTGAGAGCAGAAAACACACAGGAATGTGAAAAAGAGGAGAAGATGGGAGCTACTTCTGTGTTCCATCTCTTTTGACCTGGATTGGCAAAAACAACAGAACACACTATCAGTGTCCAATGCTTGAGAAATAAAGATCTTGTCAGAAGGAGGTTGTTTTGGAAAATCAGTACCACTGAGAGAAAGAGAGAGAGAGGGAGGGAGGGAGAGAGGGAGGGAGGGAGGGAGAGAGAGAGAGAGAGGGAGAGAGAGAGAGAGAGAGATGTACATCTACAGTAAATGAGATCTGCAATAGATATAGATATAAATATAGGTTTAGATATATAGATAGAGAGAGGTGTGTGCGCATGTATGTGCGTGTGCATGTGCGTGTGTGTGTGTATTTATACCTGTGCTCATTTATAGCTCAAATTATGAATTAAGAATGTGGACTAGACATTTTCATTAAACTACTCAGAGGCCAGAAATTTCTTCATGGTGAATATCTGCAATAGGAATTATTATGCAGGTCTACACAGAAGAATCTGCTGATTTATAAGAAAAAATGTTCCTAGTAATATGAATAATATTGATAATATATTGAATATCATAGCTATGCTCTGCTACTTGATAAATGCTTTCTTTCTTGAAGTTAAGCATATGGCATGCAGAGAAATTTTAAATGAATCCTGACATAAAAAAGCAGAAGTTGAGGTTCAGAGAATATGGGGGAAGGGGCGGAAATAGAGTGATTGACAGATAAACAATTTTGCTAATTATATATAATTAAAGTGTCAAAATATTAACTAAGATCATCTTGATTTTCAAAGTAATTTTATCCTGTTGTTAAAAATAGCATCAAAGAACTTGCACTGGCTGCGCTTGTTTTGAAGTTATAACAGAAAATAGAGCCAAACATTTAAAACAACACTAAACTCACTGAAAATTAGTCCATAACATCCACATAAAGAGCTCTGAGATTAGAGACAAGAAAGAACTTATATGGTGATGGTGATCCATTCTCCTGAAAATATTTATCCAAGGGAGAGTGTGACCAAACAAAGCTTCTGCTATAAAAAACATATAAATCTTCAAGCTGCTACAAAATTGTCTATTGTTTTTACTGTCACAGTCTAACACAGCTTCCACTCAGGAATATGTTCACATTGTTCTGCAACTGAAAACTATTCATTTTATCTGACCACAAAAACAGAGTTAATATAAAAAATAGAGAGAGAGATTACCACTGAAATTTAAGTGAATAATTTTAGAGAAATTACATATTTCTTAACTAGTAGTGAATGTGAAAAACGATGGGAAAAAAGTCTTCATGATTTATTTAAAAACTCTTAAATTGCATATAAAGCAAATAGTTTAAGTGATCAGAAGAAGGTGACTAATGAACATTCCCTTGTATTCAAGGAAAAGAGACAATTCAAAATGAATATGAACTACTGATTATGAAATAGGCATTTTTAAAAGAAAAACTTTTGTTATTTGAGAGAGAAATCAGAAAATCATCCCCAAAGAGAAATTCATATTTTGAATTCGTTGCGAAAACTGTTTGCATTATTATTTAGTCATACCAACGTATCAACATACATAAAAAAAATCTAAAAATGAATTTAGGGAAAAAATATTTCTCTAGACTAAAATGAACACCTATCAACTTTTACTTACCAAGCCAGAAGATGGACTTTTGGATTCCTCAAAAATACGATAATGGTGATTTTTGCACAAGGGACACTTGGAGCTCTCCTAGGTGCTGAATTTCTCTTCGGTGTGCCACACTTTCTTCTTCAGATACTGAGCAGAGTATTCAAAGGCAAGTATCTGGTCTGCTGGTCTGAAGTTTACCAGCCTGCTTTTCTTTGCAGGCTTACTGCAGCCTTTCCAGCTGCCTCATTTAATAGGTTTATATACACAGGACCACTTTTCCACTTCAGAAACAGCGATCGCATTATGCAGGAGACGTCACATTCCCCAGGGGGTATATGGAAATATCCATCATGGTTTTGTTAAGGATATTATGAGACAAAGGAAGTTCATACTTAATTCAAGGGAAGGCACCCCCCCTCCTTCTCTGATTAGTCGATTTATCACTTGACTGTGAACAACTCAAGATGAGTAACATTGGGCCAGGCAAAGTGTTCAACTGCTTTAGGAAACGTGGAATTAGGCTGGTAAGACAGAAACCTTATCAACTAATATTAATTGTGATGGGTACCCCTTTCCAAATTCCCTTGAGAAAAAAAGATGGTTACAAGCGTTCATCAGAACTGTCAGAAGAATTGAGCGAAATTTGATATATATTCAATAGCATTGCATTTGTTTAAATGCCGTGATCCAGAGTTGGAGTATATATTAAGATGATTTTTAGGAAATTAAACAAATATGATATGAAAATAAGCCCAAGCATTCTAGCTTGCAAAACAGTCTTGGAGTAATCTATATGTGACTTTAAAGATGCATGGGGAAGAAAAAGGATTATCTCCCTCAGTAGAATTCCCTACTTTTCTCAGTTTTACCAGAGAGAATGTTCCCTTTTAATTTTTATGGTTCATGAACAGAATTAAAGAGAGGACTGGCCTTTCTTTCTTTTGGAATTATCAGTAGGCCATATTCAAGTAACAATGCTAAATGGTTACTTAAACCCTCTTGAATATTTTGAGAATATTTGTTCTAGTCTTTCTAGAGTTATATGTAGCTTATTTCTTTGAAAATGCCATCGCAATTGTTCTAAGATCTGAAATGTAAGTTTAAGCTATCTGCTGAGTTTATATGGAACATGACTGATATTTGTCATGCTTTGAATCCTGGTGTATTCCTACAGGTATAAATGTTTGTCATCATCTGCTTTCTCATTTTAACTACAGTATTTTTTTTATCATTCCATCAATAGAACATAAACTGGACCTTGTATCTACAAGTCAAACCAAATAATGGTAATTTATTATTAAATTTACACATCAGACTTGCTAGAATCATCTAGTCACACCTAAAACAATTTAAAGAAAACAACAACAGCAACAAAAATAACAGGAATTCAAGAAAATGTTCCTTTAAAACATTTAAATGAATTAAATGAACATTAGAATGTTCATTTAATTCCTATTAAATGTCTAATCATAGAATAAAGATGTAATTAATTTGAGATACAGATGAAAATATGTATGATATATAAATGTACCTACTACTTTAAACAAAATACTTTCTCAATACATTTGCAAATATATTCTAGAGGCATAAAAGAGAGGCTTTCTGAAATGTAAGGTTGCCACCAGGAAGGGAATTTTGTAATTCCTACAGCTACCGTAATGTTTATCTGTTCAGGACAGTATCTGTTAGAGCAATAAAATAAATTGTTGTATTTTAATGATGGGAATTTCATCAAGCACACATATCCACAAGTTAGGCATGTAAGGCTCAGTCAGGTTTACTTTTTCCCCTAATCTGAGAAACCTGACAGAAGAAATTGTCCCAAGTAGCATCAGCAGTATTTCCTTTGTCTGACATATTTGTTACAAAGGAATGCAAGTATCACCCTACATAGCAACAGAGGCCTTATTGCAAGTTACATTGTTAATTGGTACAGTTTTATATAAATGCTTTGAAGTGTGTGTGTGTGTTTGTATGTAGCTGGGTATTTAGTATTCACAAATAATTCCTAATCTGGGGTTTCAGGACAAAGCCACAGTTGATAGACAATTAGGAAAAACTGCTTAGATTAATTCTATCAAGAGCATCTTTGATTTTACGTTGAGGTAGAAGAGGTGAATTAATGAGATAAAAATATTACTTGTGGCGAATCTGGAATAAAAATAGAAAACTGTGATACTCTTTTAAACAATTATGGTCTTAATATTTAGAAATAATAAGTATGTGATATCTATATTACACAATTAACCAATCATGAACAAGTGCTTTCCCTCTCCAATGTTCACTCCCACAAAATGTATATTTTGAATTTAACCCTCATGAAGAAACCACTTATGAAAGCTGCAATAAACAGTCACTAATTAGTTTTGTTTCAAGATGAAAGCATGATCCAGCCAAATTAAAATACTAAATTCCATCAATTCTAATGGAAAAAAATAAGCATGAAGCTAAGCAATTACTTTGGACTGGAGATTTTTTTTTTCTTTTTTTCAGTGGAAAACTAATTTCCACCAAATGTTTGGCCAGTAAATGTTGAAAGTTAAATTCAAATACTCATAAATAAAATACCAAAGAAATTAGAAGAACATATTCCAAAGTTAAATCAGTTTCGTCTCAAAGCCTACCAAACAGAGAAGATCTTCCTTCTCATAAAGTTTTCAACTTTTTATTTTGCCTATGATTCATGGGTTTGTAAGTTTAGACAAACTTGGTGGAGAACGTTCAGTGATGTTTAATCATATTTTCTAATTCATTTAATGTAAAAATTAAATGAAGTAAGCCTTAGAAGAAATGTCTGGAAATCTCTTTCCAAGTTGACAGCTCTGACCTAAACCAGAGTGTTTACAAAATACTAATTCCCCAGGAAGCTTGTTTCTCTTCTTATTTCATGACTGGTAGGGAAAATAAAAAAAAAAACTTGTTCTATCTTAGGGGAACAGAATTTATCTCTTGCAGTCATCCAGGTTCTCCTTATCACATGGAAGTAAGAAGTGGAAAGAGAAAAAAAGAAGAGGGTGGGGTAAACAATGGATTTGTCAAACCTGCCACAGCTTAAACCTGTAATTAGAAATGATCCTTGGCTCCATTTGTTGAGAGAGGTATAATTAATTAGAGGTTAGGTGTATTGCAGTAAAGCAAAGTCAGAACTGAAAATGGCCTGCCAAAATCCCAAAGTTCTACTTTTTCCTCCCTTAACTGTCTCTCATTGTTCCCCTCGGTGTAACCAATCTAATTCAGGCAATCTGTTTTCCTAAACAGACAGTGCAAGCATATGCAGCCCCTCCTTCTTCCAACTGGGTAATCTTGAGGCAACATCTCAAGGAGATACAGCGTTTACTTTCGTTTCCCAAAGCATTCCCCCCTCTGTACAGTTCATGGCAGTCTGTCACCGCATAGTAATTTAGCACAAGCATAGCGTAAGGTGGCAGCTGTCAGGATTCAAATCAAGATCACAATCTAAGGGAAATAGATTTCCTCTAGATTTCCCCTACTAATTAAATTAATAAATATATCCTACTCTTCCATGATTCACATAATAACAGAAAATCTTCTGCATCCTCTTTCCTATTGCGGTCTTTGAGAACTCTTGCTTGTTATACATGTCTAGTTTCTTGTACTGAGGTACACATTTTTCAATGTGTATGTTTCATTTAGCTCTCATGGCTAATATCCATGGCTGGATAGATGTGATTTCATGGTCAACATTAATGTACCTCTGTAAATGGAAGTTGTTTTTAGCCATATACAGAAATGGACTAATAACCTGCATTTAATTATTTGTATATTTACTTTCTGTTTGTTTTAAAGACTATTAGAAGAGCATGGAATAAGTTAGCAAGGAGGTGATAGACATAGAAGCAAACACAAGTAAAATGGCATTGACATCCCCTAAACCAGACATGTCAAACTGTGATGTCATGTGACGTCGTGCGACGTATCAGAGCTTTTTTTCCATTGCCGGCAATGGGGTGAGCGTGGTTTCCTGGTGACGCATCCAGCCCGCAGTCCGGCAGTTTGACACCCCTGCCCTAAACTCAGCTGAAGATGTTATCTAACCTGGTAACAACATTCAGAAACCAACTCACAGGCTCAAGAACAAACTTTCACCCATAAGTAAAAAGATACATGCTAATGAAAAGAGAATATAAGAAATTAAAGAACACAGTGAATCAAACAGGGAGGAGAAAAAGAGGAATAGCAGCATATTTGTCACTTTTCCGTTTGCTAATAGCCACAAATTAAGTTCCACGGCTTTCAGAAAGCATGCAAAGAAAGGAACAATTGTGCTTCCATATAGCTTAACAGCACCATCTAGCTATTAAATTAAGTGTTTTATTCCTGGCAAAACTGCCTGCGGGATTTACAACATAAATTATCAGTAATATCTTTAGTTAAAATCAACAAGCCGTTCAATAAAACTCTATGCCACATTATGAAAACAGCCATCAATAAATAAAATAAAGTGCTCCTCAGAAAGGGAATACCAGAATATAAAACTACATTTCAAGTACAATTTAAAAGGGATGAAAAACTGTACATCAGAGGAGGGGGAATCCTGGAACCATCACAGGGAAGGCTCTTGATTCCAGGGTAGTACCCTCTGAATATACTTAATTAAAGAGTAGAAGGGTATAATTTTCTTAGGATGGAGTACCAGTACTCCTCGACTTATGACCACAATTGAGCCCCAAATTTCTGTTGCTAAGTGGGACAATTCTTAAGTGATTTTTGCCCCATTTAACAATCTTTATTGCCACAGCTGTTTAGTGGATTACTGCAGCTGTTAAGTTAGTAAAACGATTGTTAAGTGAATCTGGCTTCCCCAGTTGACTTTGGTTGTCAGACAGTCACAAGTGATGATCACTTGACTCCAAGACACTGCAACCATCATAAATGTGAATCAGTTGCTAAGCATCTGAATTTTGATCACGTGACCATGGGAAGGCTGCAACAGTCGTAAGTGTGAAAAACGGTCATAAGTCACTTTTTTCAGTGCCGTGTAATTTCAAATGGTCACTAAATGAACTGTTATAAGTCAAGGACTACATGTAGTAAGGTTTTTAAGGCATTCTGCATTAAACTTGGTCAATTCCATAGTCATTACGCATAAAGAGGAAAGGCATACTATTTTGATAACTTCCAAAAATCAATCCATGCCCCTCTCCCAAAAGTATACTTGGACATGACTTTAAGACCATGGAATGAATGTTTATAA